GGGGAGAGGGGGGGAGGAGCCGTGGAGGAATGGGTGGGGGGTCGGGGGGAGGATGGGAAAGGATGAGAAGGGGAAACAAAGGAGAAGGCTACAATGCTTGATAAGAAATGTACTCATTATCTTGCCCATGTAATTGTAACCCTCTGTACAGTATTTTCACAATATAAAAAAATTAATTAAAAAAAAAGAAAGTCTGTGAGACTCTTATCACCAATTAACCACCAGAAAACCAGAAGCAGAGTTGCGGCTCAAAGTGGTAGAGCACTAGCTTTTAGCACAAAAGTTTGAGGACAGTGCCCATACCCTTAGTTCAAGTCCCATGACTGACCAAAACAAAAACAAACAACAAACAACAAAACAGAATGTGAAGTGATTAGCTGCTAATGTTTTATGGGAAAGGTCTGCTTTCTCTTATCTAAAAATACTTTCAAGGTGGCTCACATCTATAATCCTTGCTACTCAGGAGACTGAGATCTGGAGGATCATTGTTCAAGGCCAGTCTGGGCAAAAAGTTTATGAGACTCCAACTAAACCAATAAAAAGCAAGGCACAGTGGTGTGTTTTGTCATCCTAGCTAAAGTTAGTGTAAATAGAAGGAGTACAATCCAGGCTGATCTGGTTATAAACATCATCTAAATTGCAAAAGCAAAAAGAACTTGCAGCCTGGCTTAAGTAGCACTTGAGTACTAAGAATGAGACCTTGAATTCAAACCCCAGTATCCTCCCCAAATTTTTAAAATTAAAAACCAAAAGTGCTTTCTAAAGCTAACATAAATAATTTTTAGTCTGTGTTATAAAATACCTATCAGTGTATGTGTGTGGGCAGTCCATGCCTGTGAAAAGCACCTTAGACTGTTTTCTGCTAAGAGACTGGAAGGAGTCTATAAACAACCCTGAGAGATGCTTGTGGAAGCACATTTCTGCAGGTACAGCACTCACATAAAATCAGTCACAGGGTCACAGAGGGGTTGAAACAGACACTGTCCAGCATAGGTGAAAAATGTATCAGTTCCAAAGAGCTTCCCGGGAATGGAAGCTTGCCCCACATGCTCAGCCTGAATCTAAGTCAGTT